GCCGCCCGGCGGGCCGGCGCCCCGCGCCCTGCGCATGGGGCGCCCCCCGCACCGCCCCGGCGGCGGCAGTGCCGCGCCTCCCGCAGTCCCGCACCGCCCGCACCGCCCGCGGGCTCCCGGCGCCGCGCCACGCCCCGCAGCAAGGCCTCGCGCCCCTCCGCGCCTCCCCACGAAAAGCTAAAGCCTCAGCCTGGGCGGGAGCGGTGCAATCTCCCCATCTCTCCCCTCGCAACACGCAGCCAAAGAACGCCGAGCTTGGTCTTTCTGACCAGAGGAGGTTTCCCTCGCTTTCGTAGATGAACAAGGGTTATACGATGCTAGCCAACTGCATAAAGATTTTCCCTTGTTAACTGAGTTTTCCTCCGAACTACACCTCTGCACGTCACCGATGTTCTTCAGCAAGGGCAGAGCATAGACTGTCCGCTGCAGATTTATACTAGCTCCATTCATCTCTAGCTCCAGGACATAAAAACTCTGCCATCTATATATATTGCAGAAAGCATCTCTTAAAGGAGGAAGCAGATCTGGTCATAAGCAAGAAGAAAATACAAGAAAGAGAAAATAAAATAAAGGCAGTATTAAATATGCTGCAAATTAAGATTGAAAAAGCAAGGCATATGAACCTTCACCTTACAGGAAAGAAAACAGCAGCATTTAAATGGCATTTGAAATCGCATAACTAAACAAAATATTACTCACTAAGAAAGGAATATAGAAAATGCCTAGCATTTGTTCTCTGATGATAAAATATTTTCTTTTAGCCTGTTCAGTAAGGAAAGTTCTGCATTCTTCAAAGCCCATTCTTCTGTGTCAGTAAATCATTAAGAAACTGGGTGCGTAATAACAACTTTCCTTGTCCTTAGCAATCATTCTGCTATAGGAGCAGGTTTGTCCAACACTTCAGACACACAGACACACAGACACACAGACACACAGACACACAGACACACAGACACACACACACACACAGACACACACACACACACACACACACACACACACACACACACACACACACACGAAAATAGAGTCCTTTGTCAGGAAAACTTATCCAAGCAGATGAAATCTACAATAGCAAATTATGTCCTGGTTAAGAAAATGCAATTTTAACCTTCCACCTTCTCCTATATTTCCACAGTGTAGAGACTAAGAGCCAGAGTTAAATTTTGTGCAACTGTTTTGGAAAGCATTTTTGTCATTGCAGCAACAAGATTCAGCCATTGGTCACCCCCACACTTTACCACCCCAAACCCCACAATATTATTTGCATTTCTCTAAACCAAACCCCTTCTTCCTTTCCAACCAACACAATATAATTATATGGACAAATAATTGTGAAGGAGGATATTATTAGCACTAATACTACTTTCATCACTCTAATTTGGAACTGGAGAGAGCTAACACAGGACATGCCAAAAGGCATTCAACCAGAGGATCTTAGAAAAGTCAATTAACAGAGAAAAATGCTAACTTCAATATCTCTCACGTATGCTATGAGACCTTTTTAACAGATGATTCAAAGTCTGTTTTGTAGCCACCGCCCTAATAGAAAATATTTATTATGCATTGCTCCCTTGCCAACAATGTATAATATACTGATTTCTAATTAAGCTGCTGCCTTGTTGTCTGAAATAATTAATTTTCTTAGATTTCCCATATTTACATGTTCTTTACTATTTTGGAAGCATGATTTGTAACAAACGTAAACATACTGACCAAATCTTGCTCTCATAACAAGACATGCTTTATCTTTTAACCTACCATTTACAGCTGGGGCAGTTGAACCTGGAGAGAAAAAAGGTTCCAGGGAACCTTATCACTTTCTACAACTACCTAAAAGGAGTTTGCAGCCAGGTAGGGGTTGTTCTCTCCTCCCAAGTAGCAAGTGGCTGGATGAGCAGAAGTAGCCTCAAGTTGTGCTAGAGGAGGTTTAGATTGGATATGAGAAAAATATTCTTCACTGACAGGGTGGCCAAGATTGCAATAGGCTGCCCAGGAAAGTGGTGGACTCACCAATCCTGAGTGTAATTGTGGCACGTGGCGACACACGGTTTAACGGTGAACACGTCAGTACTGGGTTAATGGCTGAACTTAATGATTTAGAGGTCTTTTCCAACCCTAATGATTCTCATTATTCATTTCACTCATATTCTCACTTTCTGCTTGTTTGTCTATCCCACACTTGGTTTGTAAAACAGATTATTATTTGTAGGTCAGATTTCTATAAAACTTTGATGTGAGAACATAAAAGAAATTAAACTATAAGCTCTCTATAGCATAAATGTGGAAATGCATCTGTTGGAAAAAAAGAGATTTTGAAATCACACCAATCTTTCTTAAACTGGTCTGGGACAATTACCATGGAAGTCTATTTCTTATTCTTTTTTGAAGTGATATAGCAAACAGAAGCTGTAACTCCACAAATCCAGTTTGCTCAAATGTTCCTCTGTAAAGGGTCTCTCTCAACACAGTACCCCCTTGTCAGGAGCATTTTCTTGGAAGTGAATAGACACTCCTGGTCAGTATCTTGTTCACTGAGCAGAACATACAAACTTTTGCAAACAACACTGAAAATCCATCACTGCACAAAATGGTGCATCCACATGTTCACCAGCTAATACTGCTCCATCTTTGGAGCAAGCAAAAACCAGACATGACATGACTACTTTTCCACATTGATAATGTACAACATTCCAGGCATGCATCACAGTATTGTAGCTAAATATTTATATCACAGAAAATACAAAATGCATAAGAAATACACACGTTCTTTTTCTTCTAGGTCAGGCAGTCATCTGTCCAACTTGGCTGCAGTCAGCCATGGTAAGCTCTT